ACTGCGAACACATGTACATTATAAACTTGCATCAGCCCGCCCGCCCGGCTTTTTCTTTTTCTGTTTCATGTTTGTTTGATTGTTAGGATCTTGGGGGAATGTTGCTATTTGTGTATTGATCTGATATCGGTTCGGGCCTGAGGTTACTTCTGCGAGCATTAGCGTTGTTGGTATGGGATCCAGTGGGTTGGAAGCATGAGCATCAAGCGCCTTTTGTTTTGAATTATGGTTCTCATTTCATCTGTATACATCAAACATAGCCCATTAATCTAAAACATGGCGCCGGAGACAACCCCGGGTGGAGGTGTCTGGGAAATCAGGCATTCCAGAAAGCTGCATGACTTGGCTGTGTTGATCTACGTAGTCACTCCTCGGCCAGGAACATCCCAATCTCCTTGGCCGTCCACTCTGCGCCTCCCGAAACCCATTCAGTCCTTCCCTCGTCCTGAAGAAGGAAGAGAACCGTTTCTTCCATTGCAACCATTCGCTTCTCCTCCATGGAGCTAGTACCTCTTTTGCGATCCCGTGCCCTCTTTGTTGGTTCTTGAAGCTGGCTTGATTCTCCGTCATTATGGATTCGACTGCTTCCCTCCGCGGGGCTTCGGACGAGGTCGACCGCAACGATAGTGATCCTGACCCGATTCACACTCATAAAAAGCAACTTTCTCAAGAGCTTCCGGATGATTTACCCAAGTCTTTGGACGACCGTCGTTCCGTCCCCATGATTCAACCCGAGACTGAGATGTATGATGGTTGGCAAGGTGCGCAACTTCTTCCCCGCTGTACGGTCGCGCAGGCTGCAGGAACTAAAGATAGTTTCCGAGGCCACGGAGACTTCCCACAACTATATATACAAACGCGACCGTGTTATGCTCAACCCACAAAGTCCTGAACACGAAAAGAATGCTGACCTCAGTCTCTTCTCACCCTAGGCCAATCCCAGTTTCTCACGACGCCTGTGGCTGCGAAACCGTTGAGCTTCAGTCTCGCCCTGGATGATCACTCGCATGACGACGAACATAGTTTACAGGCCCAGTATGGGCGGGGCCTTGCGGCTGCGGTGGATGACGATAATGAGTCGACTACTACGGCTCGGCTGGAGGACAGCGATGCCCGGCTGATGGAGATGCTCGCTGCGCAGGCGGCCCACCGGGAAGTGGATTCACTAGGCGCGGATGAGGAAGCCATCGCAGCGGACGAAAAGCTGTCGGAAACAGAGAAGAAGGATATCTTGCAACGAAGTTTGAACATGGCTGCGAGTAACGGCGATGTAGAACGTGTGCGCAAGTTGGTACAGGGCAAAGCGAAAGATTATGTAGATGTGAATCTGCCAGATGAGGAGGGAACCGTGCCGTTAATCTATGCCAGTTGCTTTGTATGTAATCCATTCCCCGGGTTTTGCTTTTTATTCAATGCGATTACCGCGGCTGACTGGATCCCAGGGGCACCAAGACGTAGTTTCAGCCCTTCTGAACGCAGGTGCCAATGTTGACCAACAGGATCGCAATCAATGGAGCGCCTTGATGTGGGCCATGACAAACAGACACAAGACGATTGCGAAGATCCTTCTCGACCACGGAGCGTCGCCGGATATCAAGTCCTCGTCTGGGGGCACTGCTTTTGATTTCGCCCAGCCGGGAAGCGAGATTTCGGAATACCTGCATGAGAACGGCTATCATTTTGGTCCTACTGTGATTGAAGATGATTTTTACGACGCTGGTTTGGCGCACGGGCGGTTCGAGGAGGAACTTGCGGAGACAGAAATGAAGAGAAGGATGATGATGGAAGAAAGTGCTATTAATCTGGAAGTTGACCTATCAAGCCTGGGGCTCGATGAGAAGTTTGATGTAAGTGTATAGTTTTACTTCATATGGCGGCGCTGATTCTGAACTGTCTAGCAGTCACTCGATGAGGAAGAGCTGGAAGAAGAACAACAGGAATTTGTCTGGGATCGATGCCTGAACGACCAAATGTTCGTCTTCCAGGAAAGCGAACTAGAGAGGATCTTAAATATGATCATCACGAACATGACTCCGCAGCGATCTCCGTCGCAGAAGCCAGTCCCCGCCAACCTCCTTTTCCTTAGTGCCCGGTACGCACATTACCATGCTAGCCCCGAATTACTCGCGAAGCTACTTGTCTCAGCCACAGATAAGATCAACGATGTTGTTGAACGTCATCAATGGGACATGACGATATTGGCATTCTGGATGTCGAACGCCACCTTACTTTTACATTACCTGAAAAAGGACGGGGGTCTCGTGGAGGCGACTGTCGAGTTCCAATTGCACCTGGCGGAACTTATAAATGAGATATTCATCTTAATCATCCGAGACGCCGAGCGCCGAATGAATAAGGTGCTAGACGAGGCGATGCTCGATCACGAGACGATCCCCGGACTAGAAGATGTTCACTTCCAAAACGAGTGGAAGCTTTTCCGCTCCAAGACCAAGACCAAAGCCCCCGAGCCCGCCGAGAAGCGCTTCCGGCCACCATCCCCGCGGCGACGAGCACAGGTTTCACCGCGGAATATCACTTCCCTGCTTTCCTCAACCCTTTTCGTGCTAGATCTCTACGATGTTCACTCAGTCATTACTACTCAGATCCTGTCACAGCTGCTGTACTGGCTAGGAGCGGAGATCTTTAATCGCATTATGACCACCAAACGTTACTTAGCCCGGACCAAGGCTATGCAGATTCGCATGAACGTATCAACCTTGGAAGACTGGGCACGTAACAATAACCGCCAGCCTGAGCACTATGAAAATGGGTCTATGTCTAGTACTGGCGAAAGCACTATGGACGCCGCCCGCAGACACCTGGCCCCGGTTATCCAGCTATTACAATGGCTGCAGTGCTTCTCATCTTTAGGAGATGATTTCGAGTCCCTTGTCACCACATTGCTTCAGTTACAGCAACTGACGCCAGCCCAGCTTCTTCATGCGGTGAAGTCATATCGGCCTGAGGTAGGAGAGAAGGGTCTTACGAAGCCAGCGACGAAATTCCTGATTGAGCTGCAACGCGATCCCGACGTGTTGTTCCGAGAGCAAGCAAAACTTCAAGGGGGCAAAGAGCAAGCGGCGGAGCCAGAAACCGGGCAGGCGGAGGGGCGGCCTCGGACTCCCCGACAAGATCAACCTGATGAGCAAGCCTCCGCCGCATCTCCAAGGTCTTTCATGACATCACCGCGTATGGATGAGCGAAATGGAGCCAACGGGATCTTCTTGGACCCATCCCTCACCCTTCCCTTCTCACTACCTACTAGTACCGACATGTTGATCAGTTACGGGGCGGGATGGGGCGGCACCAACCGAGAACGAGCACGCAAGTATATTCCTACCGTGCCTCCCGAGGTGTTGAGTCGGTTCGATCGTGACAGTTGAAGCGAAGATCGTTGCGCTGCCTGACCGTTGTGTTATACCCCCCGCGCTAGAAGTGATTTTTGTTTAGCGGCATTTGCATTCGAGTATATACATTTGTTAACGCATCTCGGCCTTGTCCTATGTGGCCCCCTTGGGATGTAATAAAAAGGGTAAATCTATGACATAGAGAAATTTGGAAAGAAAAAAATTAGGATTGACAACGGACCCAACCAAAGTAGACGGGTAGCAAGAAAATGCAAAATTTAAGATGAGAGGAAAGCCTAATGTACGACAGAAACCACCGTGGGATGCCACGCATCTTGTAAGTACATAAGGATAATCATTAGGGTTACTGGATACGGAGGGGAATCGAGAGGAGAAGGTAGCGTTTTGAACATCTATATGAAACGAGTCCCCGGGTAGAGACTGTCGTTTAATATAGAGTTGGGCAGACGGGGCCTGCTCCATTCTTGATTTTAATGACATTCATCATACTAGTACTCAGGAGTAGGATGGATGTACTGGACATGTCGTCCTTGCAAATAATTCCCTTGTTCCATTGGATCCATTGGGTCATTTTCGACAGGACCTCCCGTTTCAGGCATATGCCGAGGCGGGATTGGATCATTCTCGAAGCCAATTACCAAAACAAATCAATAATAATTAAAAAATAATGTATAGCTTCCATCCACTCCTACCAATAGTTTTTCTTTTTTTTTTTTTTTTTCTCTCACAATGAAATGGGGAACGGTCGGATTCGAGCAACGAGTGAGGGGAGTGTTCTTATTAGCCATTGTCAATAGATTACCTTCCAGGTTAAGCCGAATCGAGCACTTACAAACGAACTGCCGCTCCACTTGGTACTTCGTTTCTCGGCCCCGAAGCTCAAGGCATCAATATTTTTTTTGTGGTGGACTTCGTTTGACTTTTTGACTTCTCAGTCTATGTGGAAAATTGTCCCGTGTGTCTCATCAAGCGATCCTGGAATAGTAGCCGATGTCTTACTTGCTCGTATATCTCAATGGAGATCATCCTTTTTTTTTTCGAATGGATAGGTAGATATCTATGTTCTCTGGAGGGAGTCCCAGATATCTATCATGTCTGTCGGACCGACCCGCCCAGAAATCGACAGATGGTATGCATTGCTTACTTGCTTCGTTTGGCTCGGAGAATTTGGCCCGAACGCTTTCGATTGGCGATAAGAACGCCTGGACTCGTCGTCATCAACAGCGCCAGTCCTACGCAATGATGCTCTAGTGGCCGGCGCCAGTCCGCTGATCCACTTCGCTCACCCTTCGGGACCAGGGTGTTATCCGCTTTGGGACACGTATCGGCCTCCAGCTAAGCTTCCTGCATACGTATATAGATACCAGTCCATATCTGGCAGTTTAGTATCGAATCTGTGCTCGATGAATTCGGCAAATCCTCTCTTCAGGTAGACTCGTTGCGCTCCTGAGGCATTCTTGCTCTTTCCTTTTCAAGCTAGGGCCCTGCGGACACTTGTCCTGTTCTGGTAAGTGGCTGTTTTCCTCTTTTGGGGCGGTTCCCTCTTTGGGAGATCCGGGGGTTTGTGATTTTGATTCTTAATTATTATTATTTTTTTATTCTGATTATTATTATTATTATTATTATTATTTATTTTTTTTTTTGGTTGATCACCTCCTGCTTGGACCTCGACCTCTACTACTTGTACTGCCCCAATTCTGTTCTACCACATCCCCTCTCTTTCTCCCTCTCCCTCTCTCTCTTTTTGCTTTCCCGATATGCCTTTGGTATACTACATCAACTTCTCTTCCGTCTCCGCATCGCTCTTCCTCCTCCTCATGCATTGATTGCGCAATGGGGCTGTGACTTGGTCTCTCTGTGCTACTTTCTATGTACTATAGTATACACCACCGTCTCCACCGTGGATCACCATTCCTTGATCCTGTCTTTGCTCGGACATCCCTCCGATTCCTAATCGAGTATGCTACTCACATTGCAGCCGTCTTCTCAGAACGGGATCAAAGGCCCTCATGACTACGCTATTGTTCGTCAGTCTATCCCAACACCTCGGTCCTCTCCGCCCTCCGCACCGGATCCAGCTGCGGCCATTGTAGCATCCAAAAGACCCTCCGTGGACCACTCTATGGAATCGTCTCGTGGTGGCTTGCCACCTCCTTCGACTCTGGCGTTGCCGCCGCCGGATATCGGCTTCTCCTCCATGAATTCCGTGAATCAACCACTGCCGCGCCCTCCCGCGCAACGGCAGAGCACCGACGATACCAGTCAGTATTGGCATGCGAAAGCTGAGGAAGACCGGAGAAGGCAAGAGGAAGAACGAACCCGTCAGGAATCGCTACGTTTAGAGCAGCGGAAGATCGAACAGAGTATGCTTCGAGATTCCTTGCAAGCTGGCGTACCGCCTCATATGATTCCGCTCATCTTTGCGGGTATCAGCCAGAATGGCGTCCCGCAAGCAGTCATCGAATGGACTCAGCAACATATGACACAGGCGCCGGCCGGTCCCCGTGCGCCACCACCGTCGGCACCGGCTCTATCTCATTCGTCTCATTCGTCTCATCGGCGCAGTCTGCATGCCCGCGGGGAGTCTCGCTCTATTCCTCCTGGTCCGTATGCGGCTCCACCACCGCAACAGGTCGTACCTCCCCCGGGGATCCTTTTATCACAACCTCTTCCCCCTTCGGGGCCACCACCCGCTCCGCAGCCACTCGGACGGTCTCCATTACCCAATGGGCCAGCGGATCCCCGGGGTCCGCCCATGCCTCGACCCAATCCTGGTGAGCCGCTGGCCCAACAGCAACCTACGATTAACTTGAGCAACGTTCATTATGCTCCAGGGTCATCTATCCCGCATGCTCAGCATGTCGGGAGCAAGCCGGATGGCCACCACCGACAATCTCCGTCCCTGTATTTTCATCACTGGGTCCCTCCAAGTCAGTCCCAGCCGAATACGCCTTCCGGCAGAATCCGACAAGAATCGCCCTTCGCATCGCAGGCTTCTCGTCGTCCAGAGTATCAAAGCCCCCCGGGACGGAAGAGAAAAGCTACTGGTCCTCACCAGCCGGCTCCTTTCCCGTCATCACGCCCGTCTGAAACAATTCCCGGTGCTTCTCAAGTCTCTCGACCAGGCTCCCCATTGGGCCCAGTCCCGCATGTCGAACCTTCAGTTCACAGCCGTCAGCACAGTGGCGTATCTGTCATGTATGAGCCCCGTGGCCTAGGGCCGTCAGGTTTTGAACGCGGCAGCAGAGCTGCGAGCCCAGCTCATCATACGCAGCGTGTGATTGGGCCCACAGACGACCCGGGCTTAAGGAAGGACTATGACCGAGTAGATGTTCCAGAACGTCGAGGCGAGCCGGCTCCAACGGGGAGTAACGTGCAGTACCCACCTGCAGCGCCCCAGCTACAATATTCTTCGAGTATTGGGACTGCGCCCCCTGACTCGGACTTGGACAGCAGTCCCGGGCCTTCTCCAACTTCAGGGATACCTCGGGCACCCACTCGGCCCGGTGACCATGGTGCTGCGCCTCCAAGGTAATCAATGACTTGTGGGGTTGCGCAAACACTCGTCTATATACGACCATGTCGTCCCCACAGCAATTGATTGGTCGACGAAATAGATGACTTACGAAGCACTCTAGGAAAAGCATGTTCTTGTTTTCAACCAGCTCCCCCTCCCTCTGAATCCGACACTCCTTTATATTCTCTTTGTCCTCTACCAAACCATCCTCCGTTCTACAGTGATTTGTATACCACTCACACCTCCCGGCTGGCTCGCGGAGACCATCTACATATGACATATTATGTCCTGTATCTATCGGATCTGTCACCAGCACCTGGGGTGCTGGTGCTAGATGCTCAAGAAAGCAAGAAAAAAAAATAAAATAAAATAAATAAACATTCAATCAACAGTATCACCCACAAATTTGACCGTTCTAGAATCCTTCTAGAACCGAACTTGCCGGAATTTTATGTAATATATACTACCTGAAAGCTCCGTAAGGTCCAAGCGTCTTTGACAAACGCATACTACTCTACTTCAGGGGTGACATTCCGCGTACTACTGCATACTATTCTCCTAGCTCCCCACCAGAATGCAAAACTGGTCCTTCAATGTTTTTTTTTTTTTTCATTGTTTTCTTTTCCTTCTAATCCCCTTCGGGCAACAAGAGAGAAGGATAGATACACAGACAGATAGATATGAAATTGTTTAGACACACACCGTGGTAGACAAAAGGGAAGGGGTATCAGGGATAACAGTGTTGTTCTTGCTGTGACTTTGATATATAGGACAAACAGAAAAGGAATAGAAAAAGAGACAGACAGATAGAGAGAAAGAAGGACAGATACAGACGTCAATAACAGGCAAACAACGAATGGTGGGACAAGTACATGCCGTGTAATAACATAATGACAAAATGAGACTGGTGAATGAGTTAGACTGTACTGATAAAGGAAATAGGAGTGCGGAAACGAGTTGTGTATGCAATCGGAAACGAGGGTCTTGGTTTGTGGGTTTTGAATGAGTGAGGGGACAAACAAGGGTCGATCGATCGACCGTGAAGGAGTGCTCTGGGTCGCGTGACGGATGGTGTGTTGGTCTGAACGGAGAGTCTCGCGGTATACTGGATTAGGTCTTTCTTTTGATGTGATTGGATTAGGGGATGGGACTCGAGGGGGAGGAGATATTAGGTGTGTAGTGTGATGGAGTGAGTCCCTGGCGGAGGGGGGAGACATGGTCCATGTCTCTCGGTCATAGCTGTATAGTATGTGCATCCGGTCCCTGGTGTAGAATCATACGACTGCGAAGCCGTGCGGAGGTCGTGATGTGAATGCCATTAGAAGCTGTATTAGGGTAAGGAAGGCGTTCGTGGACAAAAGAAGGTCGACTTTTGTCCGAGATCATCAATAATCGTGCGAGTTAAATCGTCCATCAATGGTTTTGGGTTTTCGAAGCTGGTATAGCCTCGAGATAATTAGGTATTATAGTGGAGGGCCGTAAAAAAAGTATAGAAGGTAGAAGGCGTTTCTACCATGTCATCACATCACACATCACGTCACAACATCATCGAAACCTTGAATGTCTGAAACCCGGTCTTAGGCAAGGGCTTTTTTCCGACGGTGGACTTTCCATTCTGCCTTTGCGACACGCATGAATAGTTCAACGTCCTTTATCGGAACCCAACTGGTGAGAACCTTCATGGCGTTCTCAAAATCTGATTCGAGAATAATTTCCCGCATGCCATCAATAAGAGCCGCCGATGTTGCATGGAGGACATCCAAGCCCTTGCCAAAGGCGCTTGCGTCGGGGCCCTCGGTCTTGACGCCTGGACCAGCTGGGTCCTCAGCGTCGCCGAGGAGCATAAAGACATCCCACACCCGCAGCTGGGCTGGAAATGGGATAGAGTAGTTGAAGAGAGTGAGGTACCAACGTGTACCGTACGCAGTAGGCGGGATTCCGAGTTCATTCAGTTTCATGGCGACCTCTCCTCCCTCCAACCACCCCCGTTCAAAGTCAGCCAGAGCCTCCATCAGGCCTTCGAAACCTGACCGGTATAGCTGCTCCAGCCCTCGTAGCTGCCATAGACGGACGAGCATGATAAAGGCGTGTTCCTCATCATAGTAAGCAAGAAGGGTTGCAGCAAGGGCTGCCATGCCCTGAACATAGCCTGTATCTGGGAAATACAAAGACATCGCATGCAGCACGCGGAACAGCAGGCGTTGGCCGCCACGATACCGCCGACGAAACATGATATGGCTGGTGATGGTCCTTGGGACATCGATATCGATCTGTACGTCGTCGGGTGACGATACGAACTGGTACTCATGGTAAGCGTCAATGAGCTCATCCACGGTAGGACTATCGCTGCGCTTTTTGGCGCTCGCCTCTAGAAAGGAGTACCAGGCAGTCGATCTCCATCGATCCGGTATGCCTTTCCACGTCCGCTCAATAAGCTTGGAGCTCTTTGTATCAAACTCGAATGTCATGCCACCGCCAGCTCTGCTGCTCTTTGTCTGCCTCGCCATCTTGGTCCATTTGTCTTCCCTTCGCCACTCCCTCTTCTTGGCCGCACTCATAGCAGCTGTATTTACCCTGTCTCTACTGGAATCAACTGGGTGCGTGAGCATGTCGGCAGCTTCGTCTTTGAATCGGCGGTCGCGATTGTGAGGAAGATGATTTGTTGCTTGACGAAACCTTGAAGTTGACCGTCGTACTGGCGAACTATATGCGCTCTGTGACGATGAAGGGCGGACTGCTGGCGCGCAAATTTTGCGGTTCGGAGACCGACCCGCAAAAGAGCGGTTACTCCCCAGAGCAGATGGAGGTCGAATGGAATATTTCCGACGGGGGCTTTCTGAGGCAAGGAGCAGACTAGTAGATACCCGTTGAATCGGACTAGGCTCCGTACCATCGTTGGAGTTGCTAGTAGGAGAGCGAATAAAACCATATCTATCCACATCCCCCGCTTTAATATTGTGCCAATACTCAATTCCGCCAGCTAGCTCGTTGGGCTCCTTCTTGATGCTCGGAGCAGGCTCGGGATCGACTGAGGATACTATGCTCTTGGTTTCCGTGCCAGACACACTGGCGCCTGAAAAGCGAGAAGTCTCCTCACTTGCCGGGCCGCCCTCTTCCCAGAGCACACCGTTCTCCACAGCCAAGGCTTTCGCGACTTCCGAGTCTGTCACATTCTCATCACCCTTTTCATACATCAGCCTGACCCGACGCGACAGCATATCCTCGTCTGCGGAAATCACTCTGCTGGGCATAGCGCTCCGCCGGGCACGAAGCGATGGCGGCAGTTTTGAACGCCGTACAGGGGCGTCTAAAAGTTCCATCTCGGCGTCATTCTGCTCTATTGGCGCAGTAGATGGAGGTATTGGGTCCTTCTCGATCTCTTCCTGGCCGCCATCTTGGTCTAGCTGTTTCAACCGTTGCCTTGCCTCCTCTTTGATGAGACTCCCGCGCTTGGAGAACCTCATAGATTGCGGCGCAAGGCCGTCGAATGACGCATTGGGGATATCCAAGGAGAGTCCATTGAATTCGATGGGAGGAACAGGTGGTGGCGATTCTGAATCTCTTCCCAACTCTGCAGACTTCTTGCCCCATAGTCCGCTAAATTTACGTTCCGACCACCGGGAGCCAGGGCGCGACCCCGGGCGGGAGCTAGGACGAGATCCGGCGTCATTGACGACAATGCTAGGAATGGAGCGCAATGAGCGCAGGCTGACGACCGATTTCGCAGCATCTGGCCCTAGCGTTCTTCCGTCTTTCGTTTGCGGCCGTTCATGTCTATGCGACGAGAGTGGACGGCGTGACGGGTCTCCGGGATAACTCGACGGTGCGGTAGCTGCAAGTGATTTGTTTCCGGAGCACAATGGGTGATCGACTGGAGTAGGCAACGAGGCGGATCTGACAGCCAAGGGGGCTTCTGCGGCGACAGTTTCTTCGTAGGCAACGGCGTGAATCGTCGAGCTAGACTCCGACATCACGGCGCCAGGCAACGAAGCGGATCGCTTATCCTCCACCATTATCCTGGCATGACTTGATGTGTATTTATCCTCGTGACCGCATTGATTGATGGGCTCTTTTCCCTTCAACTTTTGCTCTGGAAAGGCGGACGGGGACGAACGGTTGGTTTTCAAGGGAGGGAGGGAGGCGGGGGGGCGCTTTGAAGGAGGCGAAGGAATGGACTATTCCACGAAGAATCCCGCGCCGGAGATCACCGCTGGCAGTTCAATGGAGTGGTCAAGAAAGGATAAAGGAGGGACACTAGTGAAAGTACATATCTTGCGCAGTTGAACATGACCGTCCCCGACCACGAGATTCAGTTTGCCAATAGGAGAGGATCCGTTCAGGAAGTTTTGAATTGGGTCGCCATTTGACCTGCGGCTCCTCCTTGATTTTACTTGGCGCGAACGACCGGACAAGCTTTCTTCGTAACCCTAATTTCCTGGCCACGGATCGGAAATCCGTCTCCAAACTCTTCAGGAACAGGAGTAAGGACGCAGCGCCTAGTGTCCGCCTCGAAATTAATACTATCCCAGGTCCCTGCTCCGATTCCAAATCATATCTACTGCACCGAAGCGCTGTCTCCCGTTGAAGCGCCAGAAGCCTTCAAGCAGGGATCACAAAGGGGGGGCGCTTTGGCGCTCCACACGGGAAGGTTTCCAGATACTAGACTTAATTTTAGGCCACGCAGCTGTGGATCTGGTCATAGTTCTGTGTTGCAGACTTGCGGATATTATTGATAATAATAGCAGTGGTTGTCGTGGGAGCCATTCAACGGATATCCACCTCCGGGAAGGATTCTTGCGTGGCATTTGAGTGACAACGAAAAGAAATCAATCAAAAATAGCAAGAGACAGATGAATGTCGTATGGTGTCGAGGAACAAATCAAAAGAGTGCCTTCATTGTTGATTTTTCTGGTTCATTTTCTAATTTTTTTTTTTTTTTTATCTCTTTCTTTTTGGTTGTTTCATGATGTTCATTTCATTTTTGCTTTGACCTACCCCTTTCATACAATTTAGCGACATTGAAATGTTGATCACCTCGGCTGGAAACCCAAGATGGTAGAATGGCAACAAATGAAAGCCACCACATACAGAAACTATGTTGGGTATTATTATCCCTTGTTCGTGTGGCTTCAGAATGAAAGAGTTTAAACCCCGAACTATTGCAATTAACAGTCAATTCCTCACTGTCAGATGCTGCCTTGGTGACGCGGATCCACTCCTGGGACTATAAGTATCTACATCCGATATCAATGCAAGGTTCGGATACCTGCCCTGCTTGCTTTTTTACTGGTGAAATTCTTTTCTTTTCTTTTTGCTTCGTCATTGTTTGTTTTCTATTCCCCGTGCCATCTCTATAAGCCCTGATTGCTAAAAACGCCCGTAATGTCATTACTTCCACCCCCCAAAATCGCCAATAATACTGCAACGCCATGAAGACCAGATACCAGCAGGCCCTCATGCGAACGGGGAATAGGCAGAATGTACAGGCCAGCGTACATTGTCCTGCTGCACTAGAGCCCCAAGTGGTAGTCAAAAGAGGAGGGGCAGAAGAACTGAATGTGAAGGAAGCCTCAACTCGTAGTCCCATTGCGACTAAGCCACAGTGGCCGTATTGACACCCGGCCGAGATGGTTCGCGCGCTGAGCGTGCCGGATCAATAGGTTCTTTAGGCAGAAGTTCAATTTGGCGGACCAAGAAGCTTTTCTCATCCGTAAACTGATCGTCATCAGTGCGATCCTCCAAGAATCTAGGCAAGAATTTCAGAAGTCGGTCTCGATTGTTGATCAGAATGCGTTGCACCGCCACGGACTTGTTCGGATTTGCGACAAACACCTGGACCCATCCATTCCCCATCAGAACACCGCCACTCCAATTCACAAAATCACTAGTCACATACCTTAAACACGTGGAACCCCTCATATTGAACCATTTTCCGGTCATCTCGTAATAGCTTCATGCACAGCTTGAGATTTTCCCCGCTCTCAACGTACGCCATCATCACATTATAGTTGGCACGGTCCAGCAGAATTTCCCCAAGCAGTTTGATGCTCTGTCGCTTGGTGACGTACGAGTCAGACTGAACGAGCACACTGTTGAATTTATCAAAGAAACTGTCAAAATTCGTTGCCAAATACCCTGTTACTAAGGATTTGTGTCGAGTCAAAATTTCCTAGAGTGATGGTTATCCCACTGCAACCAGAGGAGGCACGGAGAGAAAAGGGATACTTACTCGGAAAGTTGTGAAAGCATCCGCACTCAACTCGAAGGTCCCTCGATCTATCCAGTGGAAAAAATTCCAAAAAATCCCATTTCCGGTTTGCGGAACACCGGGCTGGACTTCGCTGAGTCTGATGGCCGGCTCCCCATCTTCTGACTGGTCATATAGGATGATCGCCGCAATGACGTCAAATTTCAACGCTTCCCTCAGGATGGTGCCACACGGCATTGCGCTGTGACTGTGCTCATAGCCCTTACATAGCTCGATAATGACCTCTGGTCGGTTGTGGACAATGTAGGAAATAACCGGCGGATCGGCCTGGCTTGGATTGCCGGGCTTGAAACGAAGAATATGCGAAAATATGGTTTGGGTGTCCTTTCGAGCTTCAAAGGGTAGAATATAGAGGCTCCTCGCAAGTTCGTATAGCAAATCTTCATGGAGAGTAGCCTGAATCAACGCGTGCACTTGCTCGGGAGACACTTCGATTTCTGTCGGCAGCTTTCATTAGCGAGACCTAACCTTCTTTTCGGCAATCATTGCCGCATCCTCGGTCAAACTTACCTTGAGTTCCTTGAACAATCAATTTCATCTGGCTAAGTTGTTTAGCCAGCTCATCTTCCACCTATTCGGCATTGAGCGTCAGTGAGTTTAGGGTTATGTTCACAATCTGCTAGAGATAAACACAACGGGGTAGGATAGAGATATAATTAGCCAACCTTAGCAGTGGGAGGTGGAGATTCACGCAGCCTCACTAACTGATCTTTGATTGATCGGACAATATCAGATGGATGTCGGGATCGACCACGGTTGAAGAAGAAAGCCATTCTTAGAGCAGAAGGGCTAGCTCTCTGGATGAAAGTGAAGAATAGCAACCAACTAGCGCATGCAAGAAATGTAGAAAAACAGAATTGAGAGACCTAGCAATCAGGTCTTAATCTCAGAAGGCCAGGAGGTCTCTTGTTGTCAATGACGGATTTCTTGTGTTTACGGAGGAGAGACGCAGCAAGGCGGTGATAGGTGATAATTGTTGGCGGGGGAGCTGAAAGCCTCAGGCGCTTATCGCAGTTCTGGGCCCGGTCATGTGGATAAACAAAGTACCAAACTCTCCAGGCGGGGCAACCGATTTGCTTTTTTTTGATTTTTTGATTTTTTGATTTTTTTTTTTTTCTTTGTTGGGTAAAGAGGGGCCCTGGATTTCCTCTTTTACAAATTCATGTCCTTACTCTGAAAACCTTCTCAGAGCATACATCCTTGCAGTTATAATTGCGGTTTTTACAGGTTTCAATAACCAACTAGAAATTGTGGTTCTCATTGCCTCAATCGAACTTTGTGGTTTTATAATTCTCATCAATTGACTTGTCTGCCTACCCCGCAATTGTCACCATGTCGGCTTCGATTCCCTCTGACCGTCCTCCAAAGGATGATGACTCCTGCTCTACACATTCCGAGGACTCTGACATCAGCAATGAGGAAGGATGGGAGGACGTTGAGCCTGACGATGAGACCCAGCCGGTGGTTGGCCTGTTCTCCGAGAAGGTCTATCCCAATGTGCTTTCGATGCTACAGGAGACCAAGGACAAGTACAACTTCGACCTGCGAAGGACACAAAAAGAGCTCGGTGTGTACCTAATCGATTGAATTGGTTTATACCGTTTGAGTATTTCTTCCGTTGCTCAGGCCCGGTTGATTTATGTTTGAACGATCGCAATATGTTTTATGGGCTAACTTTTCTTCCTCTCTTTTTCGTTGCCTTGCGCTTGTAGATCTGGATTTCCTGGGTACTATAAAGCTGGTGAACTATATTCGCTCTCAAGTCAAAGCTGGAAATCTGTCTCCCGACGTGTCTTCCAAATCCAACTTCGAAGACGAGGTTTATCTGAAGCCCGTGCTTGAGGATGACGCCCTTCTGTATAGCTTGGACGACATCGAAGACCAAGACTCGGAGGTTCCCGGTGGTACTGAGGCAGAGAGGCGCGTAACTGAGCTTCAGGAGGACTTGGAACGTCTGCAGAGTCAGTTCTCTGAGTACAGAATTGCCGTCCAGAAGTCGTTGGAAGAGCAGTTATCAAAGGAGGATGAAAAACTTACCTCGTCTGCTTCCTCGGCCCAACGATCTACTAGCAAAGCTGAGGCAATTGATTCCGACTACTTCTCATCCTATTCCTACAATGGTATGCTGGCCCTAATACTTCGTGCAAACATTCAATGGATACGTTTGCTGACAGTATACTTTTCTAAAGGCATTCACGAATCTATGTTGAAAGACGCTATTCGTACTGATGGTTACCGCGACTTTATCTATGAGAACAAGCATCTGTTTAAGGATAAGGTTGTTCTGGACGTTGGATGCGGCACAGGAATCCTGTCAATGTTCTGCGCTAAAGCAGGTGCCCGGAAAGTCATTTCGGTGGACAACTCAAACATCATTGATAGGGCAAAGGAGATCATTCACGAGAATGGCTTTGGGGATGTGATAACGTAAGTGATTGTAGTACTCGTTTGACTACCTCGTTACTGACGCTTTGGCTTTCAGATGCATCCGTGGCAAGATTGAAGAAGTCACTCTGCCCGTTCCGCAAGTCGATATCATCGTGTCCGAATGGATGGGCTATTGCCTTCTGTTTGAAGCCATGTTCGATTCCGTCATCTATGCCAGGGATCGTTATCTGGCACCTGATGGATTGATGGTCCCGTCGCATGCTACACTGCGTATTGCTCCTTTTGCCGACCCTGACTTCATTGCCTCCCATATCTCGTTTTGGAATGATGTCTACGGTTTCAACATGCGGAGCATGCTCACGGGTATATACGATGAAGCGCTTGTCCGTCACGTGCAACCATCGACTATACCTGGAGACTCTTCTGTTTTCTTACCACTCCCACTGCATACAATCACTGTCGAGGAACTGTCTTTCTTGAAGGAGTTCCAGGTTACCTTGAAAGACGACATTGACTCGCTTGATGGCTGGGCTATTTGGTTTGACATATTCTTTATGCCCTCCAGAGATTCCCCTATTTCGGACGATGCCATCCCTTCGGAAATGCAAAAGAAAGGCTTTGTTGCTTTCACTACCGGCCCTTATGGCCCAGAAACTCATTGGCAACAAGGCATCCTCCTCATCGACCACGGAAAGAAGAAAGCCCTTCCTTTGAAGAAAGGTCAGACGATTACCGGAAAAGTTGGCTACCAAAAGAAATCAAAGGAATCGCGGTCTCTGGATATCTCCATCGAATGGAATGTTCAAGAGGCTGAAAAGGGCACCCAGGAATGGAGTTTGCAGTGAGGGACTTCGACCAAAAAGTTTTGCTTTGCCTTTTGGCTTAGTTCATTCGTTCTGCTACTATACGGCATCTAGAAAGGGTCGTTTGATAGACAGCTATTAGAAAAGTAATCCATCATTCATATGCCATCTGGCGGGTATCACAATTGTAGGATGTAATCATAAATAATGACCGAAAATGAAAAAGAAAGGAGAAAAGAAAAGGAGAGCTTCCATGTCGAATCTTCATCTGTGCCTTAGGCCGTATTATACGCGATGTGAGCGTCTGTTATGGTCGCTCCGACTACGGCTGCGATCAGTACGATGATGACGATGATGGTGACGACGGTGCGAATATCCATCCGAGTGAGATTTTTTCTTATGCGAGCGATCTCGGCTTGTGTCACGGCCATGGCGATGATGACGATGTGCTCCTCGATCTCTGTCCTGTGAAGCATCAAGCTGGAAATTCTCAAGACTATCTGCCGACTTTGACCTTCGCCTGCGATGGCGCGACCGATGTTTTTCTTCCAACTTCAAAGCTTCCAATTCTCGTTTCCTTTCTTCGTCCCACTTCCTCCTTTCATGCTCAACCGACTTTAGCTGGCGGACACCTTTCTTCATCGCCGCAAGTGGATCGTTGGCATCAATCCGAGCCTTTTCCCTCTCTCTTCTCATGGGATCCTCATTCCCCCAGACATCTTTCCCGGAAATGGAGTCTGGAGCCATGGCTTCAGTTCCTGAAGATGAATACCAGGGTTTCTGGCCGACAGATTGACGGAACCCCGCCGCATTAGAGAACCGCATTGTGTATTGATCTTCGTATGCCTTTTGCCTCTCGGCAGATTCCTTTTCGGCTTCTGGGTTCTTCTCCGTATGTTTATGTGACGGTCGGGAAGGGAACAGGTCAATATGACCAGCACTATCGTAAAGCGGCGCATCGCTAGATCGAGTGGAAGCAAGTTCCTCTCGTTTCGCCAGCGCAATCTGTGCATCCTCTTGAGCAAATCGGATATCGCGATCCGTATCATTTTCGCCAGCTAAACGTCTTCTCTTTCTGAACCTTGCAGTATCCTCTGCATAACTCTTCCTATCATGTCGGGAGACCGGCGACGGAGACCGTGGGGGAGGTGGTGGGGTGGATGGTCGTTCGCCACGAAGGATTTGTATTCTTCGTTCGGCATCAACTTCTTGCATGCGACGCTCTTGTTCCTCCTCTCGGGCCTGCGCCTGTGCCTCGTCGCGACGGACGCGGGCAATGTTCTCCGGGTTGTAAACGTTCCATGACTTCTTACCTAAAAGGTGACTGGATGCAATTAGTAAAAAAGAGCGAAAGATCACGGGCAATACTGACAGAGGCATTTTGAGTGGAATGCATAGAATACTAGCTATTAAAGCATAGTAGCATGTGAGAAGCCATTTGTTGATCGCAAAAACAACGATAAGGAAGGCGGAGAGCAACCATCGGCAGAAACGGAGATTGGCGGGCCGATGCGGCCAATGAGAGTCAAGGAGGTACTGATAGAGTCCAGCCTGTCCCAACGCCTTGTCCCGCCGCCACTTCTTTACATCTCACTATTATCTCTGCTAATTATTTTAATTGAAGTACTCGCGGTCTAGTACCTATATACTCAGGTGATCAGACTAATATCCTTGTCTCTGTTTGACGTGAAAGCTGCCGGCAGCGTTAACCTGTTTGCTTATAAGAGCTTCACTTCATCATAATATCTCACTCTTAGACGGTCATCACATATCGTTATACGCGCCTTCGTCTTCTACTGGTCTATCTACGATCATATGAAGCAAGATGTTTAACCGTAACAACTTTTCTATGCCTTTCGGCTCCAGGCCCGCTCGCGAGGACGGCTATTCAAGCCCCAACCCGGGCCAGGGACCTCCTCCGTATCCACGAAGAGAATACAACACTAACCCTGCGCCTACGGGTGGTGTAGGGTATGAAGACCGCTCTCATCCGCCCGACTATGACACTTTGATGACTGACGTTTATAATATTTCAAGGGGACATGGAGCACCGATGGGAAGGCCTAGTCAACCGCCACAAATGCCCCCGAGAGCCCCGGTTGGAGGAAGCTCAGGGAGAACCTGGACCTTGCGCCCCGCGAAGAGTCCCGATAATAATTACACCTTTGGTAACTTGTAAGCTCAGCTCTTGAGCTCTCGGGCGACGGACGGTTGACATGATCTAGAGTTGCAGTTTCGCCGCAGGATTTCCCGCCCACGCGCGATGGGCTCGACCTTTTCCTTCTTGTGAACGATCTATATGTATTTTCCGCGCGCCCGTATGATGGATTTCCGCCGGGTCATATCAGCATGTCGGATCCTCAGCGGACGTGGGCTGGAGTTGCTTTCACAGACTCTGTCAATGTACAGATTTACGATCCGTTTAGTCAAGGCGGGCAGGCATATATCGGTTCTACGGATATTGAAATAGGTTTTGCTGGAAAGAAGAGAGTCGAAACTCCCTACGACCAAGACGAGTTGGGTAGTGTTGTGGTCAAGGTAGCTCCCCAGTAAACTCGAACTGACTAAATTTGGTAGACTAACTGAGACAGAACTTTGAAAACCAAATATTTGCCCCCGGCCAAAAGATTCTAATGGACCATAGAAGCATTCCTCTTATATTAACGGTCAAAACTGTTCAACGTGTCGACCTGAGCTCCGAGAAAGCTGATCTCTCCAGCGGCCATGTAGAGACCGACCCTAGCGCTAGGGGAATACTCACAAGGCATTCCCAGATCAACTTTTTCAAGGATGCCCGCACTGGTATCAATTTGAAGGCGTCGAACCGTCGACCAGCGGCCAACTCTATCATTCAGCCTGACTTCAAATTCGAGAACATGGGTATTGGAGGTCTTGATGCAGAGTTTAGCACAATCTTCCGCCGTGCATTTGCGTCTCGCATTTTCCCTCCAGGCTTAGTTGAGAAGCTAGGTATCCAGCATGTAAAGGGTATGCTACTTTATGGCCCTCCAGGAACTGGTAAAACATTGATAGCCCGGCAAATCGGCAAGATGTTAAACGCAAGGGAACCAAAGATCATCAACGGTCCTGAAGTGCTGAATAAATATGTCGGCCAGTCAGAGGAAAATATTCGAAAGCTTTTTGCAGATGCAGAGGCTGAGTACAAGGAAAAGGGCGACGAAAGTGGGCTTCACATCATCATCTTTGATGAACTTGATGCTGTTTGTAAGCAGCGTGGTAGTGGAGCAGGCGGTGGCACAGGTGTAGGTGATAGTGTGGTGAACCAACTGCTATCAAAGCTAGATGGTGTCGACCAACTTAACAACATCCTCCTTATTGGTATGACTAATAGGAAGGATATGATCGATGATGCGCTACTGCGACCTGGCCGTCTTGAGGTCCATATGGAAATTTCACTTCCGGATGAAAAGGGCCGAGCTCAAATTCTCAAGATTCATACCGAGAAGATGAGGGTCAACAACGTGATGGATGTGGATGTTAATCTATCCGAGTTGGCATCGATGACCAAGAACTTTTCAGGTGCCGAGATTGCAGGACTTGTCAAATCCGCGTCTTCATTCGCCTTTTCCCGCCATGTCAAGGTTGGAACAATGGCTGGTATCAGCGATGACGTGGTAAACATGAAAGTCAACCGAGGTGACTTCCACAATGCTCTTGACGAAGTTAAGCCTGCGTTTGGTGTGTCAGAGGAGGAACTCTCGAGCCGTATCCAGTACGGTATCATCCATTACTCCGATCAGATTAACGAAATTTTAAGAGAGGGTCAGCTCTTTGTGAAGCAGGTCGGGGAATCGACCCCTTTGTTCTCCGTCTTGTTGCACGGTCCAACTGCATCAGGAAAGACTGCGCTCGCAGCGCGGATTGCCATCGACTCTGGTTTCCCCTTTATCAAGCTGATCAGCCCTGAAGATATGGTCGGCTTTAGCGAAATGGCTAAGGTTCAATATATCAGCAAGATATTCGATGACGCTTACAAGAGTCGTACCAGTGTGGTGGTCGTCGATAACATTGAAAGAATCATTGATTGGGTCCCAATCGGTCCTCGGTTTAGCAATACTGTTTTACAGACATTAATGGTCTTTTTGAGAAAGCAGCCGACCAAGGAGCGGCGATTGTTGGTTCTGGCAACTACAACCCAGAGAGCTGTACTGAAACAGCTGGATGTATACAACTCATTCAATTCCGATATCATGGTCCCCAATGTCATGACGTGTGCCGAGTTGGAGTACATCATGAAACAGTCGGAGGCGTTTGATGACCAGGAAATTGCCCAGGTATTAGGAGCGATTGGGGGTATCGACCAGGCCGATAAGGCCCCTGAAGAGAAAGACATCGGTGTCGGTGTCAAGAAAGTGCTGTTGGGCATTGAGACTGCCAAGCAGGATGCCGATAAGGTTGAACGGTTCGTGCGTGTTATTGACAGGGCCATTGAGGAAGAGCGCAGCTTCCACTGAGGCTTTCTCTTTCTCTCACAAGACTTGCTCTCAGATGAAGTGGAGGTCCTTAGCTGTTGGATACCCAAGTATGTGACTGTATTAGTAGAATACTATTTGTACTTAGCAAGATTGGCAAGGAAACGAAGTAACCTTAATATAATGTGACCCATACCATGTTCCCGCGTACTGTATTCCGTACATTCACTCGCAATCATCTGGAGCTCAAACCTCCCACAAACAAATGAACGAGGCACACATTCTTCTCCTTTTGCATAAACCTGTACTGAGTCAAAGTCACCTATCTTGTGGCTAACCCAGAAACAAGACTAGATCCCACGAGACAAAGCTTATGAAGACCGAGACCGTCGCCATGCCGTCCCATTACACACCAAAGCGCATCCTTAAGAAACAGCCCTCCCAGCAGGAACACAGTAAAATGGAGGATTGGGCGCCAGGAAACCTAAGCGAGTATGGCAACATTGAGAGTGACGCCACCATCTTAGCAAAGCATCAGGCTCCGAGCTCGAAACCCGTTAAACAAGGAGGGTATACAGCCCCTAACGGAACTCATCTCTCCGACCACGAACTAGCTAAATTCTCAAATGGCATTGAAGATCCGGAGTCGAAGTGTGTGACATACTTTCAGCCTTGCTTCATCGAGGATCCCTGGAAGGATCTCCAATCTGTGAAGATGAAATTCAATACGCGCTATTGGTGAGTCCTTCTCTTGTAGCCACGCATTCCTGTTGGTTCTTTTCTTGTTGTATATCGCGGCGCATGAATAGATTCAAGCTAATAGAAGCATCAGACTCAGGTTCCACATTCCAATTTGTCTGTGCCTGCTTGATTTGGGGGTTACTCGAGTTTCATCATGACCGGAGGGATACTATATTGAGAATTGTAACTCGTTCAAGGCTTAGACAGGCTTCCCCTTTGCAACAAAGTTCGCTACCTGAAAATGGGACGTGCACCCCCCTTGTGGAGATTACCGATCATTAGCAGTAGAGCACGCGTGGTTGGGCAGACAGGGCATGCATTTGTTTCTACAAAGTTACAATGAAGTCTTGATATTCTTCGGGAATCCCAAAGGGTTTGCCGGTTTAATATTTTACTCGCTTCCTATGTTCTGAGGAGAACCAGCTGTGGTGGACTTTCCCTTGACATCCAAATATGCCCGAAACACTGTTGATGCAAGCTCGCGAATCACTGCTCACTGAAAAGCTAAAAGCAAAGTAAAAGATCCTTATGTAATTACCTCTCTCTTTCTCTTTTTCCTCCTTTTTCCTTTTATTCTGTTAATGTGAACAACATCCATAGTCTTATTGTCCAAGGTGCTTCGTCAGGAGCAGACACGATATTCTTTCATCAATCTTTGGATACGCAGATTTGATTGGAGCCTGACGGCTAAGGTATGAACCCTATTTCTTCTTGCTCTAAACATTCTAGTACTACCTGCATGGCTTCCTCTTAACACCCACCCACCCACTCACTCACTAGCCAACCGTGACTCTACAACGGACCTTCCCCAATTGAGTTACTTCCCTTACATGAGGAAGGTGCTACCCTCTGCGAGCTAGTGGGGAGCCCCTGCAAATACAAGTCAATCATCCTCCCTGTTGTATACAACCAACTACTACCAGCCGAGTACCCGCGGTCCAACGTTACCTCTTACAACAGGGGTACAGATAAGCTATAGTACGATCATGTTACATCTATGCATCCAGAAGAGTTTAAGTTAACGGCCTAACCCCCAGGGGCACACATTCCACGTGGGGCGCAGAGATCGCTGCCCAAGAGCACTGAAGTGTACTAGACCCAGCGCTGGCATTGGCTCCTTCACGCTGCACGCCGACCCGCAAAAGCGGCAAGGGAAACCGAGCTAAAAAGGAGGGTGGAGCGGACGAAGGCGGACAAGATGTCCGCTGGCGGAGTGGGTCGGCGGAACAGTGGGAGGTAAGCAGCCTGCCGACTCCCAACAGGCCAACCAAGACACCATTTAGGGAAGGACATGGGGTTTGTCATTTGTGGGGGCATTTTGGCAATCCCTGGCTGCCATCCATATGAGCCGCCGCTGTCTTGCGAATACGTATTTCTGCCCTTGAACCCCTGGTATGCAATCAGCAATGTGTCAGGGGGCCGTGCCACAGTCCCCTACAGGCGCCCGCACAGATTGACTCACATGACCGGAGCTGGGGGCGACCTTATGATGTGACCATCTCCATGGGGCAGGAATCCTAGGCGCACGTGGATCGGATGAAGGAACCGGCTCCCTAACCTCCTCCGTGGAGTTAACGACAGCGACTCAAATTTCAAGAAAAATCCCGAGTGCATTCCATCAAAATAATATCGCTACCGGTAAAAGGACGCCCAATATACAACATTGTGAAATCGTGAAAGACCCCATATATACCATCCCATAAAACCCACGGATCCCAAACAACTCGATGACGAGATAAGCAAGCACACCTGGCCCAAGTTCTGGAAGCAATTTTCACGGAAAGTCGTTGCCGCATAAAAACAAATTATCCCCCCAATAGCCAAGAAGGAAGTGAAAGGTGAACGAAATGTGGATATTAGCAGCTGTTCGCTGCAATGAGTTCAGTAATCGTCGTCATAAGTATACTTCTTCGTCGCTCGTCGGTATTCGTCGGGATGCACAGCCTCAGCTTTTGCCTTCAAAGCACTAGGTTTGAAAGCCACATCAGTATTTCGCATACAAACCCAGCAACGTATATTCGGCCTCGCAACATCTCGAGCCACTGCTAGTCGGGAGCCAGTGTTGCCAAGAACAAAACGACCAGCGGAGAGCGGGCCTCCACTTGGCGGAGCGGAGTCCCATCAAAGGAGGATGTATGAGCTCAATGAGGCGGAATAGATATTAAAACTCACCTCACTCGCTTCTGTGTCCATTCAAGATCCCTCTTAGTCTCTCGGGCTACTTTGATGCCGTCAGAGAAGTTGGCACGTACGCCTTTCAGTCGTCGCTGTGCGAGAGCTTGCAATTCGAGAAGTTCACGTTGTTTGGCATTCAGCTGTCCGGAACTGTGTTCATAATCCATTAGCACACATACTACTCTCCGCATTCAAGAGGCATTGCTTTTGCTTAACAATCAAGTCACAAGCAGCCTCCGTTCGTCAAGGTATCGACAGCTACTCACGCCTGTGCCTGTCTTGCGAGCCCCTTATCCAATGGTGTGGGGTCAAACACGTTCTGCATGCGGTCACTCAAGACATCGACAACGTCGACACCAGAGTACGACGCAGAACTCGACTCGTAGTCGCCACTAATACTCCCAGAGCCGTAGCTGAAGCCGGCAGATGTGCGACTGCCCGCCGTCGTGCTGGTGTCAGATACATCTGGCGGGGATCCTGAGACACGGCTGATAGGATATAGATTGACAGGAGCGGGTGCCTTGGAGGGAACATTGATGGGAAGCGGGGGAGCTTGATAATGCTGAGTCGCCATGGTGATAGGTTGTGTTGCTCGAAGAGTCGAAGCCGGCAGGGTATGCAAGACGACAACTGTTGATGGACAAGGCTAGAGGGTAGGCACAAGAGGCAATATCCGCAATCCAAGGAAGTTATATGGGTTTAGAATCTGCCTGACTTACACCAAATGGTGGAGGATCAAAGCGGAACAATCTTGTCAAGACCGGGGATATGATAAGAAGAACAGGGCTGGGGAAGTTAAGAAAGGAAGAAGGAGAAGAAAGCATGATGACTGAAAAGATGAGGCTTTATATATCCCTCACCGGAGAGTCTTCCATCCGGCGGAGGAGCCTTTCATGAGGGCCATGACCTGTCTAGGGAGAGGGGGTACGAGTCATTCATTGGGCATTGGATTATCCCGGGAGTCTTTTTTCCCTCCCATCAGGCCTCACTCTCCCAAGACCCCCCAGTTCTCTCCAATCCGGACCCCCCGATTCCGCTCATCTCTTGATTTCTGGCAGCCCATTCGTCCCTGCTCCCGAATCGACCCCGCTCTGGTGGGAAGACCAAAACTTAAGGAAGAAATATAGATGGCCGGAGACTGGTCCAGCCCTCGCAAGTCCTCTCCACTCGGACTCTCTTCCGCGCTCCCGTGGCGATATTTGGGCATTTAGTCTTTTTTTCGGACCATTTTCCATTCTCCGGTGTCAATTGGAAAACGAGGGACAGACAGCTATAATATATAAAAAGGGAGGAGCTGGGTGGGATTGTGTTAAGATATCACAACTGGTCTATCTTGGCGCGTGAGCGGGATTACTTGTGTGCTGTCTTCCACACTACCCATTCTTTTTACCTTTCCTGCAACAATATTTTTTCCCCTTTTCACATTCCCTCTGGATATCGTTTTCTACCCATCTTAAATCCTTCTTTGTGAAAATTCCAACTCTGGATGGTTTTCCTGAGTCTCACTCCCCTACTCTTCATTGAGTGTGATCGACCATACTGGGTGTCACGAATATTAGGAGGCTGGGTGGCTGGGCAACATGGATTCTGAGACCCAGGGCTTTATTTAATAGCAGGGAGATTGTGACAAAAAAAAAAGTTGCATGGCTACGGAGTTAACTAATTGCGACTTACCCCATGGCCGGTGTCGGTCAGTGGTGACTACCTTCGGCATCTTAGCAACTTGTTTTTCCTACTGGCTTTGGCTCTGTGCGGTGGTTGTCGAAGTCCTTATCGTGACACGTTCCGGTGGTATCCTGTTTGGTATCGATTGGTTGAGCATATGAGGTCGGGATGGTAAGGGGCAAAAGGTGAGATTCGCGGCATTCGATCGTTCCGATTGCGTGCGTACGTGATTTTTTTTCTCCCTTTTTCTCTCCCCCTTTTGACAAGTTGGTCTTGGGAACACCCCTGAAAATTTTGCCAGCGACTGAAACCTGTCCGGAGAAAGCAGACGCTAATGAAGCCGCAGAATTTCGGTTACGGACTGCCAGAGTTATAATCATGGCATCGGAAATCAATGTATGATCTGGAAAGGAAAAAGAAAAAGGGGGGAAGGATGAACAAAAACAGAAATAGGGAGTTTATTGGAGATCGATCATGTATTCCGGAATTCCATGATGGCTTCAACTCACGTCTACCCGGAAGCAAAAACTTAAGATTACCGAGGTGGCATGGTACGACATGGAATGATACCCTGAAAGTCATTGGGGACGATGTGAAGAACATGGTCTTATTTGTGCCGCTGAACATACGACGAGAAGAAGTAATGAGTGCCCAGGAACAGAACTGAAACCATCACAGAGAACTGCCTGCTTCATGACCTTCAATTGTCCTGACTCCTGTGAAAATCTCTGACCCAGTGAAGCAGGCCGGCAGCTAAACGACGACAAGCGTGCTAAACGCCGCCGAATGTGGGAAGCTCCAGAGCAAACGGGCCGGGGTGGACCGTGAACTCGCTGAGCGCAACACACCCGCGAGGTGACAGGAAGCGATAAGTGGGCTAATAAGGTCTTGGGGATTAGTATCAGGACCCCTTCAGAGAATGTGGCAATTCGATGCTTTTTGATTTATTTGTTTTCAAGAGACGCGGCCCTCCGTGTAGGGCCCTAGGAAAAGAACAGTTTTCACGAGCAAAAAAAAAAAAAAAAAGTTAAAAGGAAAAGAGAAGGATGAAGATCATCTCACAAACAGCCATGCTGACAGACTAATCCAAACGGCTTGGCACTCATTCCCCCATACCAGGTGAAATCCGGCAAAAGCAAGCACCAGTCATACTTCTTTGATGGTGACATCCACCAGGTCGTCCGACGGTCTTACTGGCCTCCGATTTCCCGTGGCTCTAATGCAAGTCTCGTCATGGCTTTGCCGTTGTTGCCTTACCAGTTAGGCCGCTGTCCTCGACCCGTTGCCAACCTGTCCGAGCACAATGAAGATCCAGAACTTACGCAAGGGAAATGAACCAGGAACAGAGCTTTCGACCCTCAGAGCAGCCCGACCGGATAGCAGGGTGACACAGCGACCCAACGCACCATCAATGAGCCGGTGATTGGGTCTATTCGCTTAGGATCCTCATCCCCATTTTCTCTTCCTACGTTCTCTACCTTGTTGCTCTTCCATTTGTTCCCTTTTGTACGAAGAAAGAGAAAAACAAAAACAAAAACAAGAGTCCTACTTCTCGTCTTTTTGTGCATCAAGACTTGATCACATGAAACCGATATCTACAGACTCCACCATCAACGAGGCAAGTCTTGCCATAGCCACTAAGAAACAGCAACTCAGTCTCACCAGCCCTCTCTGGCTTGCATCAGCCTAGTGATGCAAGATGCTCGACATCCGTCTGTGCAGTAAAGTTGACGGTATGCCTTGGGCTAATCGTGGGTGGGCGACGCATTGTGGATTAGGGTCTTTGGCCGTGTCGAACCATGGGCCTTCTCCGTAGCGTCGATTGTGCCCAACGACCAACCGTTCTGTGCTAGGGTTCAAACCAGTGAGGAGGAAAAAGGAACATTGCGTTTTCTCACTAAGAACCCAATACGGTGCCCGCTGGTTTCCAATGATCACCCAACTCGACCCTCCAAAGATGTTCGGGGGATGCAGCGAATGTGGGGTTTTCGCCTATCGCTCGTTTGCTTCCCCTTCGCTCACCGCCACTAAAATTACAAGTCGTTCAATGGTTTCTCATCAACCAACCGGCTTTTTGACCCATTGGGCCTCGAGCCCAATTTCGGTCCCTTGGTCACCTCCCTTGGCCCGTTTTGGTCTTTCTAGAACCCAACAAGATTGGACCCGGACTATTCAACAATAGGTCCTCTTGTGGACCGACCATCCATGCTTATGCCTAACGTGAAGCCTGGGGAAGCATTCGCTTTGAGTCGCTCAAGGAGCCATCGTGTCGTCATCCGTCTTTGGGCCCCTCGATTGATGCTTCCCATCAGTATCGATCCGGTCTTCACTCAGTTGTGGGAGAACATCACCTCTCCTCGTGTCATCAGTTTCGCTCCTTACTCGCTAGGCCGTCAGATTAAGGTCGCTAAGACTAGCTCTCGCTTCGATTCTCAGGTCTTACTTTATCCTTCTACATCCTGTTGTCATGCGTTTCCACCCTACTTCGTTCATTCCTATTCAGTTCTATTGGCTTACATCGTCATATGCCAACACCGTCCTGATCAGCCGCATCAGTCTGCTTATTCCCATTTTGGGATAACAACATTGACAACATCACAGTTTCAACTAATCCTGAACAGATTGTCGACCGCAGGTCGTACGAAAAAAAAAAAAAAAAAAAGCAGTCTGAAGGAGGCACCTGACATGGAACGCATGGAGCTCAGCAAGCCGACAATCGTATACTATCGCCAATGACGACGATCCTCCAACTACAATGGGACGATTACATCACCGTCTCCTGCACTCTCAACTGCTCTAACGCAGCCAATAGGCCCATTCTCGTTTATCCTTTTAATTGTTTGCCCTGTCACCTGAACTCTGTGTAGTTACACAGGCAAGGGATAGATACGTTACTCACTACCGGAACTTTCTTTATTTTTTTTTCTTTTTTCGTTCTTCTGTTTTTTAAAATCCTTTGGAATCTCTCACCACACGATCCATCGGCCACATGGAGATGACGTCCAGAAAGCAAGGGACTAACGAACTAACTAACCACGGTGCAGGGCGCAGCTCATCTGACATGTATCATCTTATATACCTCGGTAGATAGTAGATAATGATCCGTCTACCGGCGGATACTCCCAGATATGCATATCTGCTTCAATCAGAGATCAAACTCAAAATATATATGTGGTGGTGTGATCATCTTCTGGACCGAACTCAGTCATACGCTACTGGGATTTACCGAGCATGAAAACAGAAACAGAGAATTGGTCTGATGTAGTGCAATTAAAGTATATCATATATATGCTGTTATCCGATCAATGACCATCCAAGTCCCGAAGCAGAGTGACAATTCCCTTTCACATCCAAACGGCCCTCAGTCCATGCTAGAACAGGTATCTCGATCCGTATATGAATTATCTACTAAGAAGGCAAAGGAACAGAAAACATCGGGAAAGGGCAGGGAAAAGTAGGGGTGGGAAACGCTCTGTTATCTGCAAATGCAATTCCAGTAGTTAAATATCATGCTCATAATATGGTATCGGGAAGAGAAAATAAGAAAAGTAAGAAACAAAAGTGAGATAACGGAGGTTTGCAAGAGAAGAAGAGGTAAAGACGATTGAGAATTGCTCAACGAACCCGATAACAGACGCCACGCCACGAACGAGGTCGATGGTCCAAAGAACAACAAACCTATAATTCCGACCCCCGTAATGCTGAAAGGTATCAATCAAACCTGAATGCTCAATGCAGATGCGTAGTGAAAACCCGCGGGTGAAAAAAGAGAAGCGGGCAATGAAATAGACTCGAAAACCAAAATTCACGACTCGAAAACATCCAAAGACGCCTTTCCGTCCGACGGCTTGTACCAAGCCAAAACCCCAGCCCAAAATTGAGAAAAAGTAGAACTAGTAGCAGGTACATCAGGACACGATCATAGCAGTCGGGAGGCCATGTACTTTTCCATTTGGCGCACTAGCTGGAGGCTAGACCAGGCCAACAAAAAACATCTGGAACAGACCCTCCGCTGACCGCACAGGATAACTGCAGGAATACAGAGGCCACCTTAATCCTCGCGGTGAT